AGATTGCTGAATACAGTTCATTCACAAATTCAGAACAATGGACACCCCCCCAATAGGATGGATAGGAACATAGGATAAGAGTGAGATAAGAATCTCACTACAGATGCTTCTTTTCTGCCCCTAAGCATTTCCCCTCTGCTCTAATCACGCTGATTACAGTATGCATGGTACCTGTGCATCCTTTACAAGCATTCTTCACAATACCCCTGACTAGAATAAAAGGGCACAGAACTCTCCATTTCTACTCCTGCCTGATGAAGGGAGCTTTGACTCTTGGAAGTGTATACCCTGAAGCCAGGGGTCCTTTCGTAGAAAAAGAGCTAGGGGAACTCATTAGCATAACTCATTAGCATATGCCACACACCCTGACATCACCGGAAGTGTGTCATAAGGCCACACACCCCGCCCCCAACGGTCCCGGCCGCCGATGCCGGCCTTGCACCTCCACTGCCGAGCCCCATGAGGGCCCCGGCGGTGAACCTGCAAGGCTGGCGGGAGTGCAAGGAAGCCCCGCCAAGGCCCTCCCTGGCCCCAGGCAGGCAGGGGTGGGGAGAGGCAGGGAGGAAGCAACTTACCCTCCTTCTTCTCCTGCCTCCTCCTGGCTGAATGAGGGCCGGAAGCGGGGCAGCCGGAAGCAGGGGGCGGGGCTTCGTCATGTGCCCCGCCCCCGTACCTGAATCGACCTCTGCCTGAAGCTCTTGTTGGTCTCTAAGGTGTTACTGGACTGGAATCTAACTGTTCTACAGCATACCAACATGGCTACCCCCTAAAACTATTATTTATTAATTTATGAATATCCCCATCCCTGTTATCAGGGTTCTGAGTGATGTACATAGTATTAAAACAATGACCAGATAAAACAATAAGTCATATTAAATTACATTAAAAGACAGATGGCGAATAGTAATACTAATTGTCTCTGACTTCCTTCTTTCTCATTCCCTTTCCTAAGTGCATTGAAATAGCTGATACTAAGAGTGGGATGCACATTCCCAATGATAGGAAGTCCTGATCACACACACAAATAAGCACTGCAGGGTAAACAGGAACAGAGCTGGTTCACATAGACAAGCTGCTTTCTGAGCCTTTTATTGGTCAGAACCAGGAAGCAAAATGGGAGAAAAAATTCAACAGCAATTGAACTGAAACTAGAACCAAATCAGAAACTTAGTAGGTTGTCTGTACTTGTGTTAGACCTAAGCTGTTCAGGAATTTAATTGGGCTGCTGTTTAAGGGGGGCAGGTCTCCCCCCTCCCTGTATTTCTTTTTTTTTAATGTGTATTGTGTGTGTGTGTGTACGTGTAATGCATACATGCCTGGAAGTCATGGTTGACTTCTGGCAACCCCTAGTACGGCTTGAACATTCAGAGAGGTGGCTTGCTATTGCCTGCCCCTGTGTCCCAGCTCTGGTATTCCTTGGAGGTCTCCCATCCAAGCACTTGCCCAGGTCGGCCCTGCTTAGCTTCCGAGATCTGACAAGATTGGGCTTGCCTGGGCTATCCAGGTCAGGACTCCAGATGGTTATTTCTTCAAAGAACCATTGTTTCTGACCAACTGAACGACTCTTGTTAGAAACAATGCAAAAGTCCTGGGAACAACCGATTTTGGGAGGCAGCGCAAATCCATTTGCTTCTTTTGAAAAGGATGCCACTTAGCCTGTGTTGATGTAGCATTGCTACAGTTGTCATAACACATTCAAAAGTAACCATTTCAAATATCCTTCCCCTTGCCCTCCCCTCAACTTAATCTTGAATACTCCTAAGAATTGGATCTTGCTTCAAACTCGTCCCCCCCCCCATCTGAATGGCACACCTGGACTAGATGTGTCCAAGCCTGGCTGCTCCTTGAATAGTGCACAGAAAACAACGGGCCACCGCTGGAGCTCTGGCACAATCTCCTTTGAACCATCTATTCCATCAGGGTGTGGGCTGTCGGTGAACCTTAGCAGCATTGTATGAACAGAACTGATATATAAGAGTCTTGCCTTAAGTCCCCCAGGTGTCCTGATAAGTGTCCAGTAGTAGCAGCCCTCCTGTAAGGATCCCGGGGGCCAGCATTATAGAAACCAAAGACTTCTTCCAGGTGTCAATTAAGGACATATAATATTGCAAACAGAGTTAATTCCAATGAACCACGAGCAGGGTGAAGCGGCATGGTCCGCTGCACCCATTGGCTCCACCTACTGGCCATGAAGCAGCATGACATCCTGACAGGCCCTCTGAAATCAGTGGATTGCAGGCAGCTGCCTTGGTCCACAGCAAAACTCCCCCAAACAGAAAATACTTTTTCTTAAGACCAGCTAAAACAACACAAAACAGTGTACAAGCTTTTCAAACAGACACCAAGTTACATGTTATTTTTGTGGGACTTCAGAAAAGTTATTACATGGCTTTCTTTTTTTGGATTTCTGAAGTTAAAAAAAAAAAAGAAGTCAGGTTGACAGGATCGTCATGCTTCAGGGCCGGTCAAGTGTCACAACTCCAGGAAGGAAGTAGTGCCCATGGAGCTGTCTTGTGAGCCTCCCACAGCAGGCCCATGCTGGACTACGGAGCCAGCCCCTCGCCCCCAAACCCCAAATGTTTCACTGGAAGTCAAAGAAGAAAACAGTCTTAGATGGAGGTTGGATTAATGGGCCAAGGAGTCTCGCCATTCTCCAGGGCCCCTCTCAAACCATTCCCTTTTCATCTGCTATACAAGGCTAGAGTTGCCAACCTCCAGGTGGAACCTGAAGAGCTCCTAAAGAGCCAGTTTGGTGTAGTGGTTAAGTGCGCGGACTCTAATCTGGGAGAACCGGGTTTGGTTCCCCACTCCTCCACTTGCACCTGGCTGGATGACCTTGGGCAAGCCATAACTCTGGCACAGCTGTTCATGAAAAAAAGAGCAGTTTCTGCCAAGAGCTCTCTCAGCCCCACCTACCTCACAGGGTGTCTGTTGTGGGGAGGGGAAGGGGAAGGAGTTTGTAAGCCGCTCTGAGACACCTTTGGGTAGTGAAGGGTGGGGTATAAATCCAATCTTTTCTTCTTCTAAAATTACAACTGATCTCCAGGCAACAGAGATCAGTTTGCCTGGAGAAAATGGCTGCTTTGGAGGGTGGAGGGTGGGGCATTATACCCCAGTGAGGTCCCTCTCCTCTCCAAACCCCTCCTTCCCCAGGCCCTACCCCCAAATCTTCAGGAATTTCCTTCCTTGGAGTTGGCAACCCTAATATAAGGCCTGGTTGCTATTAAGGTACAGTTGGGAGAATCTTGAGTCAGAGAGACTTGCACAAAACAGACTTAGGGCAACTCAGACCTTTTATTTTATCTTACCTAGCTTATTTATAAGCCACCTTCCTCACTGTGACTCAGTGCAGATTACAGAGTACAGAAAGAGAGGGGAAAATGTAACCGTACAGTATAGGACGTCCACTGGACAATGCAATAGGACCAGGAATACAAAATCCCGTGTTCAGTGTGAACAACAAACTGCCGAGGCCAACATGGTGCAAGCAATGGAGAATGTGGGATCACAAAGATACATGGCAATGCAGTACCTGTTCGCACGCAAAGGCATCTCTCTGGGCTGTTCTGTCCCACTACCAGCGTTCCCTCTAAGCCGAGTTCGTGTGAGCTGGCTCACAGTTTTTTAGCCTCCAGCTCACACATTCTTGTCTCAGCTCAGGAAGGAGGGCTCCAGAGCAAACTGATTTATGCAGCAGCCAAGTCGCTCACTCACAACTCTAGTGCCAGCTGCTCACAAAGTTGAATTTTTGCTCACAAGAATCCGCAGCTTAGAGGGAACATTGCCCACTACAGTTCTAAGACTCTCACAAAATTGCCCTCCTGAACAGTTCTGGTTTTCCCATTTTGCCAAATGATAGTGCTGTGAGAGCCACCACAGAGCATGGACATGAGCAGGCAATTGCCCATCTTACCAGTTTGCAGGGGGCAACCTTCAGAAGGTCTTGTACAGATAACCAAAGCTGCTATGGTGGAGCATAGTAAGAGAGGCAGCCCTGCAGGCATGGGTCCCTAGGCCATGAAGGGCTTTGTAGGGGACGACCCCTATCTTGAATTGGGGCTGGTGAGGGTTCAGTAGCCAATGGAGCATGGGGTCCACCTGCTTCAGTATTATTTGCTCTGACTCGCAGCAGCTCTCCAGGGCCTGGGACTGAGCACAGTGCTTTCCTGCTCCTCCTGAGATCCTTCAAGTGGAGGTATCAACCACTGGACCTTCCACATGCAAAGCAAGCAGGTGCTCTACCACTGTGCCAGGGCAGCTGTCAAGCATATTTACTTGGAAATAAGTCCAAACAAGTTCAAGGGCACCTATTTCCCAGTATGTGTGTAAAGGTAAAGGTTCCCTTGCTCGAAAGCCAGTCGAGTCCGACTCTAGGGTTGCGGTGCCCATCTCCGTTTCAAAGCCGAAGAGCCAGTGCTGTCCAAAAATGTTTCCGTGGTCATGTGGCCGGCATGACTAAACACCAAGGCACACGGAATGCTGTTACCTTCCCACCGAAGTGGTACCTATTTATCTACTTGCAATTTCATGCTTTCGAACTGCTAGGTTGGCAGGAGCTGGAACTAGAGACGGGAGCTCACGCCGTCATGCAGCAACTCGGGTCTTGAACTGCTGAACTACTGACCTTCCACAGCCTGCAGTTCAGCGTCTTAACCACTTGAGCCACCGCAGCTCCTAGTATGTGTGTAGACATAAAGAAATCTGCATGGTAAAATATCAAAATGCAGGTTGGGGTTAAATGTGACTCCCTCATCCAAAGGCTATGGGTGGAGGGAATTCAGGCTGCCTGGCAGACCACAGGTCTCTTCTTTGTTCCCATGGGCATGGCAGCAGCCTTCCTTTTGTTGTTGTTATTGCTGTTCAGTCGCACAGTCGAGTCTGACTCTCCGTGACCCCCATGGACCACATCACACCAGGCCCTCCTGTCTTCCGCTGTAGGAAACCACATAAATCTATTTGGGTTATGCAGAGCTGTTTTGTTTTGTTTTCTTCCCCACCAGGAATGGTCAGACCTTAAGAGCCGAGGGCTGAGGAACACCGACGCCTACGTGCTGGTATATGACATCTGCAGTCCCGAAAGCTTTGAGTATGTGAAAATGATCCGTCAGCAGATACAGGAAAACAGGTGAGCCCCAAGGGAGGGGTGGGGGAGAAGAGAAGGAGAAGAGTGAGCGTTTCTTCCAGATGCAGACAGCAGGGAGGCCTGTGCCACTGGGAGAGGGGCTTCTTCACTACTGCTACCTTTTCTCCTTGGGCAGCACATTGAATGCTGTGCATTTTCCAGTTTCAGTATTGGTTAGCTGTGCTGGGGGAAGGCTGCAGTTTGGCAAACACAGTCCCAAAGCCTCCTTGAGAATGCAGAGCTAGGCGTGAAAGACATTGAATCCTGGCCCATTTCTTTAAATAAAAACGTTGTGCCCAGATTTGGACAAAGCAGTGGAAGTATGACAGTCTTAAAGCAAACTGTTGCTAGGGAAAAGCTGCAAAATGAAGCTCCCCCCCCCCCGTCCTTAAAATCAACAACCCCCCTAAATTTGTGTTACTAACTCCGTCCCGTTTCCCCCCCCCCCCCAACAACTCCTATAAACCATATTGTCGAAAGTTCCCAGTTGCATAACAGGACTACCTTGATCTGAGATGATCCCACACAGCCAACCGGTTTCCCCACACATGAAGTCATAAAATTTCACACTAAGTGGAGACTTCAGCATCCAGAGAATGCTTATTTTTTTTCAAAAAGAGCAAACTTCTGCCGGTAGATATGTTTAAAGTATGTGGCCTGGCCTAGCAAAGTCTGCAGCAATTGAGACAAGCTTGGGAGTCAGATTAGTATGATTGCTGCTGCATAGAGTGTACTTAACGTTGCCCATTTCGCCAGTAGGTTTTCTCACTGTCCTTCCTAAGCCTCAGGGCTGCTCTGTTTCATCCATTTGGATTAAAATGTCCTGGTCCCAATTTGATGGACAGTTCTGGTATCCAGGGGAATGCAGCCACTGGGAAGGTGACTCATGCCAGGCACTGTAGAGATGCAGGGAAACAGACAGACATTCCCGCCCCCTTCCCCTGCTTTAGGAGGGTTCTGCCATTCAAACAGCAGTTCTTTGAGTTTGGTACTGGAAGTTCAGGGCAGGCTTGTACCTGTCTCCTCCTTACCTGTGTGAAGTGGATTTCTGGCTTCTTTCCTAGGACGAGCAGTGCCAACGAAGCGCCCATCATTGTGGTGGGGAACAAGCGGGACCAACAAAGGCAGCGCTTCATGTCCCGGCGGGCCCTCTCGGTGCTTGTGAAGAAAAGCTGGAAATGCGGCTACATGGAGTGCTCAGCCAAATACAACTGGCACATCATGCTCCTCTTTAAGGAGCTGCTGTGCAGCGCTTTGGCCCGGGGCTGCAAGAACAACCACTCCACCATGCGCCTCCAGGGGGCGCTGCATAGAAACAGGTGCAGCGTGATGTGACGAGATGCATTTCTTCCGGTGGCAAGGGGTCATGTGCTCTTCTAAGGGCTTGGGGGCTTCTGAGTAGGGGGTTCTGGATTTGAGGGTGGAATCCAGGTGGTCTACTGTGGTCGCAGGAGCCATGTGGAAGGGCTGTGGATTCACCACTCAACCTTATTGAGAGACTAGGCTTGGCGGCTGCTTCCTGTAGAGAACTTGTGGTGTCCATAAGGGTGGTAGAATGGGAGGCAGATAGTTCTGGAGCACAGGCCGCTGAGCAAGTGCCGTGGAAATAAGAGAAGAGGAGGAGATTGGATTTATACCCCGCCCTTCACTAGGAGTCTCAGAGTGGCTTACAATTTCCTTCCCTTCCTCTCCTACAACAGCCCCCCTTGTGAGGTAGGTAGGGCTGAGAGAGCTCTGAGAGAACTTCTCCAAGGTCACCCAGCTAGCTGCATGTGGAGGAGTGGGGAATCAAGACCGGTTCTCCAGATTAGAGTCCGCCGCTCTTATCCACTACACCAAACTGGCTCTCAACAGGTGCCGGCCAAAAGTATGATTGTGCATTTCAGCAGGGTTTGTGGCAGAGAAACTCCCAATGTGTATGAGCAGAGAGGGTGGGTGGAGGAGTACATTTGGATTTTCCATGTTGAGTGTCACAATATTTCAGGCTGGCTGCCCTGTGCTGGAACCCAAAGAGCCATGGTTAGATAAGCAGAGTGAGCCTTAAAAAGGCTCAGCATAGACCAAGGGGCCATCTAGCCCAGCAAATCTCTTTTGCACGGTGACACCCCCTCCCCCCAGAAGATCACAAGCAAGGCATGAAGGCGTGGCTCAAGCCACTAGCTTTCAGGGGGTAGACTCCCTCTGAACATGGGGGCACTATTTAGCTACCGTGGCTGAGACCATAAACTCGGAAGAGCCAAAGGTCCATCCAATCCAGAATCCTGTTCCCAGCAACGTCTGGCAAGCTGCCTCCTCTGTTTGGAGAATGACCTCTGCTCATCAAAGCACCACTTATCTGAGTGGCTTATGGATTTCTACGTCAAAAGGACCCTCCAGCATTTGAGGCAGTGCGGCTCCAAGTGCTGGCTGCAGGCAAATGGCATATGACTGTTAGATCCGGCTGGCCTCTCTTGGAAACACTGGTCTAATCCAAGAAAGCAAGTCTTGTGATGTTTCTGCCTTCTCGCTGCAAGGCAGGGCTGGCCCAAACCATTTTGCTACTTGCAGGGGGCAAACCAACCCCTCACTGCCGGTGTCACGACAGGGCCTGAGACGCCCAAGCACAGTCAGGGGCGGGTGCTGCTGGGTACCTCCTGGCCATTCCAAAAGGGTCCAAGCAGAACTTCCCAGTGCAGGAGAGAGAGCCACCCATGGCTTTCCCATCCCTGGCTGACCAGAAGCTCCAGCTGTCCACCCAGAGAGTATCTGCCCCTTTGCATGTTGCTACCCATCACTCGTAATGCATGGGCCTGAACGAAGCATGCCTGCAAAATGCATGATACTGGGCAGGGCAGGCACTGAACGGCACCAGATGGCCACCATGCGGGTGCTAGCAGCAAGCTGCCAAGCACAGCAGTTTCAAGAAGCCATGGTGAGCCTGGGTGTGGCAGACTGCCCCCCCCAAGAGATCACATAGAGGAGGGAGGGCTCTTCTTCCCAAGCCCAGAAAGGAACCGAAACTTGTCATTGCAGAGGTCAGGAAAGGAATCCCTCCAGCAGTGACGAGCACCTTCTCAGGAATTTATCAGGGGATGGCCTGTATGTGTGGCCCCCACCACGGGCCACACATCCACAAGAGTACTCCCCACAAAGGAACTCCGAATGAATGCTGCACGCTGATCAGTGTCATCACAATTGCAGACATGGGCAGCAAATGCCCTGTCAACCACCGGGTTGCATTGGGAAAGTGGAGGAGGAGGAGTAAACATCCCCCAAACAACCATCCCTGTTTTTGAAAAAGTGGGTGACGTCTCTTTCCCAGTTTCCCATGCTGGGCCCTTTGACCTACTTTTGATTAAAAAGACACAGATGCAAAGCCGTGTTAGAGGGGCGCTTTCTTCATCCCTTGCACCCACCAGTACTTCGCCCTCTCCGCTCCACGGAAGGGACAGGACTGGGGAACTGCTCTGCAGTGTCTAACACTGGCTGGTGGCTGCTGCTCCTCCTGTGGGTCTATCAGGGGTACATGCCCCCCTCTGCAACGCCAGCAGGGCAAGTGGTGGCAGCCGCCTTTCTGGGGCCAGCAGTGCTTGATCCACAAAAGCCATAAGGGGGTCCTGGAGATCCTTGCACCCTTCCCCTGTTGAAATGCCTTTGTCAGCATGCCTGTCCCGCCTTTCCAAGATGGCAGCAGCAAGCCCAGCAAGGTAGTCTTCGTCACATGACCACGGAAAGCTGCCTTACCTTGAGTCAGGCCGTTGGTCTGTTAAGGTCAGTACTGCCTGCTCTGGCTGGCAGCAGCTCTCTAGGCCACAGTATTTCAAGTTGCCCTTTTTGACCCTTTTAACTGGACATGCCGGGGGGGTTGAACCAGGGACCTTTTGCATCCAAAGCAGGGGCATTTACCACGGAGCCACAAGCCTTTCCCCAAAGCAGCAGCCCCAGGCAAACAGCAGAGGGTGCTTATTATACATACAATCATAGTGCAGTTGTGTGAAACTAAGTTTCGGTTAAGGGCTATCTATCACCACTATGCAACACCAAGCTCCAAAATGTGGACGTAGATTAGAAGTCAGACCAAGCTGAACCTGGGACACTCTGCAAGAGAAGCAGCTATTCCACCACGGAGCGACAGCCCCACCCCAAGCCTGCTCAGCCCTGTTCAATCTCCTTCCCCTGTGCCATTTCACCAAATGAAGCAAGGGGGGGGGGGAGAAGCAATGCTCCTTCTAAGCTGTGGAGTCTTGTGAGCAAAAATTCTGCTTTGTGAGCTACTGGCATTAAAGTTGTGAGTGAGTGACTTGGCTACTGCATAAATCAGTTGGCTCTGGAGCCATCCTTCCTGAGCTGAGACAAAAACGTGTGAGCTGGAGGCTAAAAAAACGGTGAGACAGCGCACACTAACTCAGCTTAGAGGGATCACTGAGGGGAAGTGGTGGCTACTGGGGAAATAGCACAGAAGGAACAGGGCCCTGATCCAATCCAATCCAACACCACCCACCACCACACATACCTTTGGCTGCTTTTTACACACATGGATCCCACAATATAACGCATAGTTTGGCCACCAGAAACGACATCCTCCAGTCCCATATGCCAAAAGGTTAACTTGCCTAGGCAAACTACCTTGCAACCCCAGTGATCTTCTCTTCCCCCCAAGACACACAGACACCCCCTCCCCTTTCTGCAATAAAGACACAGAGAGAAGCAGTTTGACTTGTCCATTTTTACTGTCTGGGTTTCGAGAGCTCCCAGGTCAGTTCCGTTAGCTACATTCGTGGGGTCGGATGGCGGGCGGGCGGGCGCTCTAGAGGAGGCAGCACTCGTGACTAAGTGCGGCGCCACCTTATTACTTATATAAATATGCATAGATTTATTAAAACACACCTACAGTACATCGAGGGGAAACTCTAATGGCCTGGGTTCCCGGGAAGTCGAGAGGGTCCCGCTGAAGCGAAATTCATGTGCAAGACTTCAGCGTTCCCCTCCCCAACCTCCTCTCCAAAACGCACGTCTCGTTAAAAATATAATCCGTTAAAAGAGAAGCTCCTTTTAAAAAATAATAATAAAGCCCCCCCCTTGCATACTTGGAGAGGCACTCGCCGCAGGCCCCTCCCCCATCCCATGCACGCTCATCCCCTCGTCAAGAAGGGTTTGCAGGACTCCCGTCCCCCACGAGCCCAGGGGGTCGGCCCTTCTCCCCAGGGAGAGACAGGGCGTGACCAGGAGAGCCGCGAGGTTTGGAGAGTCAAAGTGCTATTGAATTCGGAAGGCTAAGGGGGGGGGGAATCAATAGTATTACAACAGGGAGATTCGTGAAGTATTGTAATAGTATTACACGGGGAGATCTGCAGCCCCAGAGATTTTCAGGCTGTCCCTGGAGTCTCCTCCAACCTCCCTCCATGGATCCAGTGCTCACGGACTCTCCCACCACCCACCCCTAAAAGCATTTCACAGACAAGGAAATCAAAAAGCCATGCTGTCCTCCAGCCTCAGTTTTTGGAAAAAAACAAACAAAACGGAAGTACCACCTTTAGGATAAGAGCCACCCCCCCAGCTTTTCAAAACAGCAGCAATGTCAAGGTCACAAAGGAAAGATGCCCAAGGCAGCAGCAGGAGGAGGAGGAGGAGGGAAGGGCGGGGCAACGGAAGCAGCTGCAACAGCCAAGCCAGCACAGGCCCCACTCTCTTCCAGCGACCCTTAGGCCCATGTGCCTTCGTCGGCCACCCCCGACTCTGCTGGGCCCCGGGCAGGCTCCACAAAGGAGGAGAACACGTTCTGGAAAGCCGCCCAGGCTCTGTGCTCGGCCTGGCGCTTGGAAGGACTGTCCTTGGGCGAGGCGCCCCCCGCTGGGGATTTGCTGGCCCCCACGGCCTTGTAGCTGAGGGGCGTGGGGATCTTTGTCGGCTTCTTGTCCGGCTGGGAGTCTGTGCGGGGCTTGATCTTGGGACGCAACTTGAGCTTATAGATGGAAGGCACACGGTCGGGTTTCTTCAGGGATGATTTGGGCCTGAGAACGACTTCCTCAGGGGGAGGAGTTCCCGGGGACCCGTCGAGGGGCCGTACCGGAGGCTCCTCGTCAAATTCGTGGGGCAAATACTCCGAGTCTGCATCGGAGGCCATCAGTTCCACAGCGCCCCATGGACTGCCTGCTCGGGGCTCGGGAAGTTCCACTCCTTCCTGGACCTCTTGCAGGCCCATGTAGCAGTTGCTCTCATCGGAGGAACTGGACAGGGCCGGCTTCCGCCAGCGCGTGGCTCGCTCCAGAGTTGCAGGAGAGTCCCAGAGGTCAGCAGTGTCAGCAGAGCCATTGTGGAGGTCGGAGGGAGCTGCACCCATATCAGAGGCCCAGGCCTTCTGGGAGGCAGGGTTCCTCTTGGGTTCGTCTTTGGGCTCGGCCTGGAAGCCGTACTTGCTGAAGAAGTTGAGGGAGGACGAGGAAGAGCTGGAGGAACAGTAGGCGGAGTCAGCAGCTCCTTGGTCCGGGGTGGTCTGCAGGAGTCGAGGGCCCTCGCAGCCTCGACCCAGAGGCTCCACCTGTTCTTGCTCCTCGTCCTCCTGCAGGCCCATCATTTGGGAATTGGCCAGAAACTCCTCTTCCAGCCGCCGGTAAAGCTGCTGCTCTTGGCTTGGGTCCAGGCGCAGCGGGGTGCGAAAGGTCTGGGTCAGTCCCTCCAACTCTTGTCCCAGACTGTCGGAGGGCTGCCGGGCATGCAAGGTCTCCCCGGACCGTCGCTCCCTTGAAGGGACTCGTGGCACCGCCAGACATGGCTGCCGCTGCCTCTGGGGCCCAGAAGCTGAGGGAGGTACTCGGGCTGAGGGGTCTGTCACTTTGGTGGTGGGAAGAGACCCCCTTCGACTGGTGAGTGCTGGACTCCTGGAACCTACGGAAACACAGTGACCCCTTGCTGGGCTCTTGGTCCTGGGGGTGACTCTGCCAGAGCCTCCCGAGTTCTCCTTCGGGTCTTCAGCTCGTGCCCAGGAGTGCTGCCCGTCCTTCCCGCGCCTGATAAGAAGCACGGGTTCCCCAACAGGCCTCCCCTGGCTGCGGGCTCTTGGGCGAGGGCCCTGGGCCACTGGCTGGCTAGGCCCATTAGGCATCCGGGGACGGCCCCGATCTTCTGCATCAGTCCTCTTGGCCCCTGGGGAAGGCCTTGGCAAGTTGGCCCGCTCTCGTGATTGGCTGCGACTGTCTGGTAGCCTCTTGGGACTGGCACTGGCGTGCAGACCAGCTCTTTCAGAGATCCGCCTCCCAGGCTCCCTCCTGACCGTCAAACTGCCATCTTCATTACGTCTCCTGGGCAGAGTGCCGCTTTGCACTGATGATGCTGAGGAATCGCTGTCTCCCGAAAGGCGACGGGCTCTAGGGGGCCTGGAGCAAAGGAGACAATTTTTTTTTAATTTATTGCTGCACTGCTTTACATTTATCTGGCACTTTTCTGAAGTGGCAAAAAAGCTTCCTTACACCCCCCCTGTAAGGTAGGCCAGTATTGAAGTTCCCCATATTGCAAACCTGGAAGTAGGGTGGGGCTGAGTCACAGAGACTCAGTGGTGAGCTATTTGTTTAAAACATTTGTCAGCTGTCTTTCGTCCTTGTGGAACTCAAGGCTGCTTACAGACACATCATATAAAATACATTAAAATATAAAGCCATTAAAAAAATACCACTCAGGAGTGAAGAGCTTGTTCCATAGTTGTGGGGCTGCCACTGAAAAGGCTGGCTCTTATGTGCCCACCAAACAAGCTTTTTTGATTAATGGGAGAGTCAGAAGGACGTCTCCCTGTAATCTTAATTCCCAGGCACGAAAGTATGGGAGAAAATTGTCTTTCAGATACCCTGGTTCCAACCCATGTAGGGCTTTGAAAGTCAAAGCCAACACCTTGAATTGGGCGTGGGAGTGGATCAGTAGCCAGTGCAATTGTCGTAATATCGGGGTCACATGTTCCTGATAGCTCGCCCCGATCAGCAGTCCAGCTGTAGCATTTTCTACTAGCTGCAGCCTCCGAACACTCTTCAAGGGTAGCCCCAAGTAGAGTGCATTGCAATAGGGATTTCAAGTCAGACTGGACAGAAGATATTTCTTCAGACAAGAAGTCATGCTCAGAACCATACTTGGTTTTGCAGAATGGGTTGGGTTTTGTAGATCTGTTCCACTTTCTCTCAGGGGAAGGCTCCTTCCAGAAAAGCACCTGCTAGTGGAACGGGAGATCCAACCCCCACTTACACTCATTTCATGGAAGGTATGAATTAAGGACATCTTGGTTCCTAACTGCTCACAGCAGCCAGTATCCAATAATGCCCATTTCCTATGCTCACCACCAGAGGGCAATATCACAGAAGAAAATGCACAGGTTCATTTTATAGTGCCAACTAGGGATGGGCATGAACTGCAGTTCTGAACTTCTGAGGTTCGGTTCATGGCTGAACCACGAAGCGAACCACGAACCAATACGAACTGGGAGGTTGGCTCGCTAACTGAACTGAAAGCAGATGGTTAAACCGCTCCGAACCACTTAAACCCTTGCTTTCTGCTCCCCACTGCTTTTCATAGGAAGCAGAAACCGGCGTTTTCCACAAAAAGCGGCAAGGAGCAGAAAGCAGGAGCCATTTAACCCCCCGTTTTCCACTCTTCACGAACTGCCATGAACTGCCTTAAAATTCATGGAAGTTTAAATGAAGTTGTATTGATACCATTGTTTGTTTATATTTCTAGTTGTTTATTTGTAATGTTACAGAAAAGCTGTTTATTTGCAATGTTATAGAAAAGTTGAAATTAAAAATAAATTTATTTTAAAAAATCGTGGAAGTTCATGGCGGCTCTTCAGTTTGCAAACATCGCTTTGCGAACCACGAACCAGCCAAAATTCATCACGAACCTTCGTTTGTGAGCCAGTTCATGCCCACCCCTAGTGCCAATTCCCTCCCCCCACCCTCATCTGGACTCTCCAGCCATGCAAGGGGGGCAATTTGGATCAGGACCATGATGAACAAGGAGAGGGCTTGGACCTCACAATACTGTTTTCTTGTTTGCCCCACTTGAGAAACACGGCATGTAGCCCATCAGCACACATGGAGCAAACATCAGCCCCCAAGGCTATTTCAGACTGGGAAGATGGTATGGGGGTGTATCTCCCAACACAGGCTATGCTCCCAATGTAAACTGTGCCATGCATGCTTGGGAAACACAGAACATCCTCTTGATCTGACCAAGGGATGTCCTTGGAGAAAACATAATGCATAGTTAGATTCTTGATCACATGAGTGTCAGAGAATGTTGGGAAACTCTGTGTGTGTGAGTGACAGAGAAATGTTTACTCAAGAACTACAGGCCAAGATCAATATTTGAACTTGAGTCTGTCTCTCCCCAGAGTGATGTTAATGCTTCCAGGTCACCTGCCTCTGTTCATCTGTATCAACCGTCTTTCCTACTCCTGGGTTAAGACATCAACTCCTAATTCTTGGGTCAGTCCAATTATCATTCCCACCCCCCAAGGAACCTCGACACCTCTACTTTAAAAGCTGGGTGAATCTAGGATTTTTGCCAGATAATTCTTGACAAACCTGAAATTCTTGGGGAGAAGCATGACAATTAAACTAAACTGGTATAAAACGAATGTAAAGTTTGCAATGTGACTGCCCCCCCCCCAAAATCTCACAATAAGTTTGCCAGCAATATATGACAGATATGTCACTTGCCTTCTGAAGCTGGAATGTTCATAGACATCCCATACCATCAGAACAACACATCGGGGCAGTGAAGACACTCTTCTTATAAACAGGGCAGCCACTGCACTGATGGCAGCTTGGGGGAGGGAGGGCAGGAAAGGCCTGGAGAGAGTGCCCTCACATTTGGAAGTTGCATTTGGTCTGACTCACCTATTCAGCCTTTCGAACAGCCTAGTCTCACACGCAACTAGCCCAGCGCTAAGACTCGGGCTGTATGTTGCGACAAAATAATACATGAAAATTCTGCACTCAGGCAGTCCTAATGCTGCAATGAGAAAACTGGATTTTTCAGGCTGGGTCGATTTCTACAGTTTCTCTGACTCTGCATAACTGACATGTTTTGCTAGTCGAAAGGGAGCAGAAAAGAATCATCCTCCCACCTCCACCTACTAGAAACCCTTCCCAGCCACTTTTTCTGATATTTCAGCCCACACGTCAATAGAATCACAGAGCTGGAAGGGGCCATCCAAGGCCATCTAGTCCAACCCCCTGCTCAGTGCAGGATCAGCCAAGAGTGGCCCTGACAAGTGTTCGTTCAGCCGCTGCTAGAGGACTGCCAGTGAGGGGGAGCTCACCACCTCCCTAGGCAGCTGGTTCCACTGTTGCACAACTCTTACTGTCAAAAACACTTGTGTGTCATTAAAAACTAAAAACTCGCTCCCATAATCCCCCCCATGAAAGCTAGATTCTGTGTCTAGTACCAGTGGAAGCCCAGGATACATTAAGCCATTGCCAAGGGCCGATTTGGGCCCTGCCTTGGCTAATGGGTGTGCGTACAAAAGCACATCCTTTTTGGCACTGAGATATGAATGTAACTAGGCAATTAGATAAACATTGAATGCACATTTTGAGGCTACGGGGGAAAGCAGGAAACAGGAGGGCTGATATTACTCAAAAGGCTACAACTGATAACAGGAGCTGACCCGAGAGTTTCCAAAAGAGCAGGTTTTCTCCCAGCACTGACCAAGAGTGACCTGTGCCCCCTGCAAACACACATTTCCCAAACATCATCTCATGTCCCCAGTGGACATTCTTCCCTCCTCAGCTCTTGTCCTCTAAATGCAGAAGTCGAGGTTCCCAAACAGGCACACACCAACCTCTGGTGAAAGGGTATGCTTTGCTGAAGAAGCAAACAGGTGTGCCAGGTAACCCATCTGTGAGCACCACAACACCCACAGGCCCCATGCTGGGATCATTCACTTAGCTGAAGGAACCTGAATAGTACTTGGTCTCGTGGACCAGTGGTCCGGCTTGGCAGAAGGCAGCGTTCATAGATAAAAATAATCTTAAAGGTACAGTTCTAGTCCATATGGCTATGAGGGTCTGCTTGAAAACGTATAATGTTTTTTTGTCAAAACACGTGGAAAGCTGCATAATTTATACAGAATGCAGCCTTGTAGGATCTGGGTTACTATGGCATGAAATATGGATGATTTTTCCCCCCTTAGCACCAATATGAATAAGTTCATTTTATATGAATCATTCCCTTGTAAGTGGAAGGCTAAGCTAGACCCTTTCTCCCTGAGGCTGAAGTAGCAATGGCTCAGTGGCAGAGCATATGCCTGGCACGCAGAAGGCCCCAGGTTCAATCCCTGGTGTCTCCAGTTAAAAGGACTGGGTAGTAGGTAAGGCAAAAGACCTCTCCCTGAGACCCTGGAAACCCAATGCCAGTCAGAGCAGACAATACTGACTTTGATGGACCCAAGGCAGCTTCACCTCTGTCCATGGGAGGCATTCAACTTTTGTTTCCAGGGAGCTAATACACAGGGGAGCATTAAGAATACAATCTGCCCACCTGCAGCCTGAAATTATATAGTCCGGGGGCTCCAGTACATGAAATCTCATGCCAGAATTAGAATTTGTACGTCATTAAAGGAACCCCAAGATTCCTGCTTGTTTTCACAATAAATGTGTTTAGTCAGTAAGGGGCCCCCTGTCAATCATGTCGGCTTTAGCAAAAACCAAAGTGGATACCACCTCGAGTGAAACTTCTTTGGCTCAGAACAGCAGCACAGTCAGAGCCAGCCTCTTGACCACATGACCCAGCACTACCAATCAGCGAACAGCAAACCTTTCTTGGCACATTTTACCTCAGGGTGTTGGAGCCCCGTGGGTCCCAGTTGTCCCGGTGGGTCTGGGCTGTGGTCCCCCTTGAGGGACTGGCAGAGCTCTGGGCAGATGGACCAGACCTCATGGGCAGCCCGTTGTGCCTCACGGTTGATGCAGCACCAGACACCTGCCTCAGAGCAGCGGAATCTCCCGTTCCTTTCGCTGGGTAGCCTGGACGGTTCCCCTTGGCAAGATTTGCATCGCCTCCACCCCCAAGACGCTTATCCCCCACACGGAGGGGTTCAGAGGACTTGTGCAGGTTCATCGCTTCGGCCCGGCGCTGGGTGCTGGGGCTGGCGGCTTGGGGGCTGCCTGGAGTTGCCATCTTTTGCGGAGAGAAGGCAAGTCCTCGTGACTGAGTCAGACGGTGGGCTGCAAAAAGAGGATGCCCAAAGCAGGTGAGCTGGCTAAGGAGGAGAGTCAGAGAGATGAGGCAAAGCACAGCAAAACTGTGTTTGATCTCTTAGGGCAGGCTCACAGGCAATGCTCCCTCTAAGCTGTGGAGTCCAGAGAGCAAAAATTATACTTTGTGAGCTACTGGCATTAAAGTTGTGAGCAGGCAGGTGATTTGGCTACTGCATAAATTAGTTTGCTCTGGACTGGATCCATCCTTCCTGAGCTAAGACAAATATTTGTGAGCTGGAGGGTAAAACTAACTCAGCTTAGAGGGAACACTGCTCACAGGGAAGAGCTGGCTTGCTGCCACATCTCTGTCCCTGGGCTTGAAAACGGGCACCTGCTTGATCGCCTGTGGTGAGTAAGAATCACTGCCAGGTGACCAAGCAAGCAAACTGTTTCTTATGGGCCACAAATGACTAACAGAAATAAATAAATAAATAAATAAATAAATAAACAGAAGGGGGGGAAGTAGCTGGGCTAATAAACCTTTTGGTGGGTTAGTCACTTTAATGAACTTATTTGCAAGGCTGGCCTGGCCTCCCACATCCCAGACAGACAAAAGACACAAGATGGATGCTTAGCTGGCTAAACACTTCAGTGCCTAATGCACCACAGCCTAGGGGACTCAAAGGGACACACTTGGAAGAGCACTAGTATTTATTTATTTATTTATTTATTTTTCACATTTGTATCCCGCCCTCCCCAGTGGGCTCAGGGCGGCTAACAAGGGCAAGGTGATTCGCCATGCCATAATTAAAAACATATAGAACATCATATTCCCATGAGCCATAAGGAGGTGCTATTGTGTGTGTCTATAAAGCGCCATCAGGTCACAACTGGATTATGGGGACCCCAGCAAAGGGCTTTCAAGGCAAGTGAGAACCAGAGGTGCTTTGCCACGGCCTTCCTCTGCAGAGTCTTCCTTGGAGGTCCCCCTTCGAAGTACCAACCCTGCTTTAATTCCGAGATCTGATGAGGCTGGGCGATATCCCTCCCTCGGAGGGGCTGTTGCAGTGTTCCAAATCACTACAACCCCTTCGGACTCCACTTCCCACTTGATTACACAGCAATGAGTTTTGAGATGTTTCCATGCTCCCCACTGCCCATGGCAGAAAATTCTAGAGGGCTGGTTTTGTAGAAAGGAAGACGCTACTGGAGACTTATGGGCTATCTGTGATATCTACTTATTGACCGAAATGCAAATAGCGGGTCAGAGGGGAACAGGCATGTTCATGGCACAGTGCTAGATCCATCAGACTCTGTTCCCCTCAAAGTTAGCAACGTGCCCTTGGAACCTCCAAGTTTGTTCCCAAACCCTCCCTCTCCAGTACAGGCTACAATTCAGTCCCCTGGTTCTGCAGAAGACAGAGCACTGGCCATCAGCACTTGCCAAAGAACCATCTCCTAACCATCCATGCCCCCTGAGGAAACCCTTCAGCCATCAGCTGAACTGCTAGCTACACCAAAGGCAAGCAATGCTCAGTGACATGTTCACAGAGGCCTGTCTCCAAAGGCTGAAATGCAAGATCCCTCCCCCGCAAAGGCAAGGACATAATCTAACTCCTATGTAAATGGCACCGTGCAAGCTACTAGACCTCAGTGAAAGGCAGCACATTTAATTCCACTGGCTCCCGACTCCACAAAGATGCACTGGCATCTGACAAAGCCACCAAAACAAGAGACACGAAGGAGAGAAGCACAGCTGCAAAAGCCCCCAGACCCTCCAGAAATGCCCTGTAAACACCCCACCTGCAGGGAGATCCCAAACCTACGTACTCACAGAGAGAATTACATCGGCATGGATCATGTTTGTCCAGGTAGTGCTCCAGAGTGTCCCAGCCACCACCGACACGTACCATTACGTGACTCCTCAGTACCTGTGCAGACAGCCAAAGAAACAAACCTCACATCAAGCATGCTGCTGGACTGGTTTTTCAGAGTTAGCAGGAACTGGAAAAGCAAAGCATGCTGGGTGGAAAGAAGAGGGACCTAGTGGTTCAGCTGGATTCAGTCAACCACCCTGGCCAAAGGTTAGTTAGTTGGTTTTCCCATTGGTCAGATACTCTCAGTTCTCCCTGAGACTGGCATATCTGCCATGAGTCTGCAAGAAATGCTGCAGAAAGCAGCCTTGGGGGTGGAATTGAGTTTCCTAAAGCTCTCCAGTTTCTAAAAAACCCCACCACACACACATTTCTAGTCCTTAGTAGCTCAAAGATATATTTCAATGCTTGTAGGTAGTAGTGCCTCCTGTGAAATCTCATAGGCCAGAGGAACTGCTGAGAGATACTTCCAGTGGTGGGGCTTCAGTACCCTTTTGCTGTCTCCTGAGCAGAAACAGAATTAGATTAAAAATAGTAAATAAAAAAATGTGCCAGAACAAAAGTCGGCAGAACCAGGGGGAATAATGCAAGATGGGTTAATTGTGCACATTTATTCAAGCTGCAGAATTAAGTTTTTTGCAGAATTCAAGTTACTTGGCACAGAATATACGGTAGGTTACATAATATGTACAGCCCTGACCTAATGTACCCACCTCCCAGGGCTGTTGTGATGACAAAACAGGATGCAACTCTGAGCTACTTGGTATAAGGAGGGGATACAAATGTTAATAATAATAAAACGATGATAACAATAATGAACTGTCCAGGCTTGGAAATATCAGGAAGGGAGAAGGAGAGCAGGGAGAGCATCCACCAAGAGATTGGAACAGAACTTGATCTGAGCCAGGCCTCACTTGACCCAAGCCCCAAAATGTGCTTTTGAAAGTAAATCCTAGAATGTATAAACTGAAGCTATTGATAAAAAGGAATTGTTGTTTCCTGTAAAGAATATACTGGGGCCGTGCACAGGCCATGATTCTGTGCATCTGTATAAAAGCCTCAGGAATTCAGCTTCCGGAGAATCAAAGCTTTCATTTATAACAAGCAAGTTTCTAGCCCTGTGGGCTGCCAAGGAATGCTTGCAAACCAGCTGGCAATGCCCTGAAGAGATCTCAGGAGGCAGAGAAGATGCTGAGTGAGGTTTCCACTGTTGTGGGGGGAGGGGTCTTTAGTTCCTCCCCTCTCAATAAATAGAGAAACTTAACAACAATAGTCAAACTTGTCACCTCCTCTCCTTGCTTTCTATTGGATTAGAAATGACTATTTGGCACAAGAGCTTCTCTGCTGCAGCTTCCTCCTATCCTTGACACAGCCTCTGTAGAAATCATCCCACCCCCTGCTGCCACTCAGCCTGGAAGAGCTGGGGGAAGCATCTGACACTGGCAATGCTGCAGGTTGGCAATTTTTAGCCCCGGAGATTCTCCCGCTCAGGTACCAAACCTGTCCCTCTTGGAAAGCAAAGACGGCTTTACAGGGGGATTCAGGGAGGAAAAGTCCCTCAGTGGCTATTAGCCATGATGACTAAAGGAAACCTCCATTCTTAGAGGCAGTCAACCTCTGAATTTCAGGGCTAGGAGGCAGCACTGAGGGAAATCCTTGGCCTCTATGCCCTGTTAGTTGGCTGTCCGGTGCAAGTGGCTGGCCACTGTGCGAACCAAGTTGCTGAACTAGAAATTGGCCACTGGCCTGATCCAGCAAGGCTCTTCTTCCGCTTTAATGTTCTGAGACCTTCGAACCTTCCCTTCTCTGTTACGCAACACACTCTGATTTTACAGATTAAAACAAAGCAAAATGAGAAAGTGGGTGGGGGGGAGGCAGTTGCAGCAAAGGAATAAAAACACGCAATCAAGAAATTCCACATCATGTGGCATCCCTTGTGACAGGATTTTTTTTTTTTGAAAGCTCTGATCTAAAAATAAAAAATAGTGTGATAGATTTCAAGTTACAAAACAAGCAGCTTCAGAATGTAATCCAGATATTCCGTCAATCTAAAGCCAACACACAGCCCCAGCCAGCCAGCAGTAGCACTGGGCGCTTCTATAATTTGATGTCAATTTTTAGCATTCTTTTAAAACAGAGACTGCAGAGTGTTTTGTCACTGAAAGGGGCTTGTTCTCAAGTAATAGGACCATCTCAGGAACAGGGACCATCTCCTTCCACCTGTACACAATTTTCTAAGTCCCAGCTTCTAGGAAGGGGTCATAGCACAGTGGTAGAGCACCTGCTTTCTGTGCAAAAGGTCCCAGGTTCAATCCCTGCCATCACCAGTGAAATGGATCAGGTAGTAGTTGATGTGACAGACCTGACACCACCTGGACAGCCACTCCCAATCAGAATAAACCTTGACAGACCAAGGGTGTCACCCAGTATAAGATAGCTTTATACACTGATCCCTTCCTTCCTAAGTTTAAGGAAACACACATGTCAAAAACCTAATTGAAATGAACATAGATGAACCTGCCAAACTGCTGGTTCATCTAGATCAGTATTGTCTACTCTGCTTAGCTCTCCGAGGTCTCAGGCAGGGAAAGGTTTTCCCAGAGCATCTGCTACCTGAGATCTTTTCCCTAGAGATGCCAGGGATCAAACAGAAGACTTTCTGCATGCAAAATATAGCCCCTGCTCTTCCTCATAAACTGCTTTAGATTTGCTTTGCAAATAAAACAACTGCACAATAAATGATGCTTCACACTTAGTTAGCTCTCCCTGGGTGTTTCACATATACAGTCTCAACAATCCACCCAACAACCTTGGAAAATGGGCCAGTTGCACTCTCTTCAGACTGCGGGGAAGGGCAGGGCCTTGCCTATGGCCACCCAACAAGTCACGGCCAATGTGAGATTTGCACTGGGACTCAGCGGGCTGAAACTCTTAGCCAGTGAGCTACCAGCAGTTCACAGCAAACCACACGTCCAACATTTGTACATGAAGCGCACATTTGTGCATTTCCCCTGATTTGCAAAAATAGATTCCAGCTGCTGCATCCAGATCTTCCATTTGCGGAATTCTATATCTTGTACTATAAGGGCCTCTGCAGGTATGGTGCTGCCTGGGCTACTCACAGCTAATCTGCCTCCTTTACTGAACTCAGGGCATCTGGCGTCTCCTACACAGCACAGTGCAGGTGATCTTCAAAACAGGGGAGATGCAGCCTTTTGGAGAAGTAAGGAGAGGAGGGACATGAACTTGCAGACAGAGCTTCCACAGGGGGTTCCCACCTCTGCAGCCCACGGAACTCAGGATCCCATGCAGAGCAAGAATAGGGAGAAGAGAGAGGGACAGGAAGGAGGAGACATATCTGCAGAGGGTCTTACTCGAACGAAGATCAGCGCGTTGGAATCTCCCACTTTGTATTTGCCCTCCGAGACCTTGACCATGGGGAACTGTGAAGGGCAGGTGCAGTGCCCCAGAATCTCCCTTACCTGGGAGGGGAAAAATGGGGATGGGGAGAGAGAAGAAAAGAGAAGTCAGTGTTCGGCAACAAACTGGCCAGCAATAACCCCGTATGTCTCCCTCCTCCCCTTCGGTACACTGAATCCATATCTGTGGCTGAGCCCAACATTCTTAATCTGAGCCCAACGGCCTGGTCCAGGTGGCATCATCCTGTATCCTCAGGAGCCACTTCATTCTCCAGAGCTGGCAACGTATTTTAACACCTTCACAGCTAGTCAGACTCCATAATCCAGTTGGTGCCATTTGTTAGTCCACGTCTTCCTGACTATGATGCTCATGCCCTGAAGGATAGAGTAACACAACAAACTGTGGGTGTGCACATAGCATAAACTGTGCTACTTGGAAGGTCCAAGACAGAGGTGTAACATAGTAATTACATCCATCCAGTTTTTAGAAAACAAACGGAACAACTAAATCTGAGTGGGCAAACTTTTAAAATTATGGCTCCCACAGGCTGGATCTTGCACATGGGACATACGTTGCCCCACTTTGGTTAAGAGCTTCTCACCTCCTCTGCCTTACAGGACAGGCAGAATACCATGCTGGATGGAGAAGGTTGGGGCCTGATTTAAGCATGACGCTGGCTGTGACACCAGAACTCACCTTGGAAACTTTACATTCATGCAGCGTTATGTTTAAATTAGACTGCCACCCATACAAAGCTATGATGGCCCTGTCCACTTCCCTCCCTCTTTCCCTTTCTGACTGAGCAGCCCTAGTGGTCTGTTTTCTTCTTTCCTGAAGAACTTTGGCTGTCCCACCCCGTCTCAGTATGATATTTTACTGTCGGCTCAACCCAGGAACCTGACGGAAGGGTTGGGATTTCTCCAGTTCTCCTGCCTGCATTAAACTCCTCTCAGTTAGGGCTGAATTCTGAAACTGTCAGTACTCGTCTCTTCTCAGCTAGGGCTGAAATCAGACTGAATTCTCTTCAGCATCCAGTTATAAAGACTCTCTCTGCTTAGATGATGCTAACCAATCAGATTGCTTGGAGCAGCCTATCATAGAATCATAGAGTTGGAAGGGACCTCCCGGGTCATCTAGTCCAATGCAGGAAATTCACAAATACCTCCCCTTCCATACGTGCAGTGACTGCTGTTCCACACCCAGAAATGACCAAAACCCTCCAGGATCCCTGGCCAAACCAGCCTGGAGAAAAATTGCTTCCTGACCCCAAAGTGGCAATCAGCATTTTCCTGGGTGTGTAATAAAGGGACACAAGAACTAAGCACTCAACCCTTCCTGCCTTCCCTCTCATGATCTGCCTAAGTTCACAGAATCCACATTGCTGTCAGATTGCCATCAAGCTTCTGTTTGAAAACCTCCAAAGAAGGAGAGTCCACCACCTCCGGAGGAAGCCTGTTTCACTGAGGAACCGCTCAGACGTTCTTCCTAATGTTTAGCTGAAAAATCATCTGATTTAATTTCAACCCATTGGTTCTGGTCTGACCTTCTAGGGCAACAGAAAACAACTCCATACTATCATCTATATGACAGCCCTTCAAGTACTTGAAGATGGCTATCATATCACCTCTCAGTCATCTCCTCTCCAGGCTAAACATATCCAGCTCCTTCTACCTTTCCTCATAGGACTTGGTCTCCAGACCCCTCACCATCTTTGTTGCCCTCCTCTGGACACGTTCCAGCTTGTCTATATCCTTCTTAAATTGTGGTGCCCAAAACTAAACACAATACTCTAGGTATTGTGTCAATCAGGGCTCTCTGTTTCTATGAAGAATTAACCCTTCACAGTCCTTCAGCTGTTTGTACAGCACTTCTAAGCTTTTAAAAAGTGCAGTCTGTCACAAACCCACCTACATATGCCTAACAAAAACAAGTTTATTAATAATAATTACTGTTTAGTACATTTTTATCCTATCCTTTTCCCAAAAAGCTCAGTGCAGCTTACACCATTCTTCTGTTCTCCATTTTATATTCACAATAACCATTTGGAGGTAGGTTAGGGTGAGAAAGAGTATCTGGCCTAAGGCCACCAGGAGATCTTCATAGCTAAGCCTGGGTCTCCTTGTTCCTAGCCTGGCACCTTAGCCACGACACCACACTGATTATCACCGCTTTGCATGGGTGGCAGCCCAATTTCAAGAAATCAGTGTACAAGAACAGAGTCCCTTGGATGAATTTTTTTGCCTACATCAATGTCATGTTTCTATTAAATTTCTTCTTTAATTCATTTATATCCCACCCTTCTCCCAAACGGGGACCCAAAGCAGCTTACGTCATTCTTCTCTCCTCCATTTTTCCTCACAACAACCCTGTGAGGTAGGTTAGACTGAATGTGTGTGATTGGCCCAAGGTCACTGAGCGAGCTTCCATGGCACGAGTGGGGATTTGAACCCGGGTCTCCCAGATACTGGTCCAGCACTCTTAACCACTGCACCGTCTGGCTCTCACAATTCAATTAGGCCTAAGAGAACACTTGTTGCACTCAGGAGAAGGACAGGATCTTCAGCTGCCTTAGATCAGCACACGAGTCATTGCTGACTGTCGATCAAGAAACAGTAGGCCGAAACTCAGAGATGATTCCCGGCTTTGCCTTGGCAACACACTCAAAACAAGGAAGAGCCTCTCCCTGTCTGCTGCTGGAGGAGATGCTGCAATTGGCAGGAAGCCACTTCCAATTTCTATAATTTATGACCTCTTGGTTCAGGGAAACTTCTCCCCGAGCAGACAGAAAAACAGCAAGTCCCGCCCACCCGGGCTGGTTTGGCTTCCTCTTGTCTTTTATCCAATGCAGGAGAGGCGGCTGAGCTTTGCAGCCTGGCTTGACAGATGTTCTCAAGCCCAGGACCAGCTAACCACCACCACTAACCCCAGAGCCTACAAGACAAAGTGCTTTTAACGATAAACCAAAACCTTGTTACAGGACAAAGAAGATTCTGCACGTCTGTGTATATTGAAAAACCTTGTCCTCCATATATTCTGGGCATTACTTACTCTCGTGTTCCTCGCCTGGGAGGTGGTGAAGTGGAGGCTGCAGGGAGCCTGCAGGGAGCCTGGGTCCTGACAGTTCGAAACCATGTCCCAAAACTCCTCTGGCAGGAGAGATTTCAGAGGTAGTCATAGTCAGGGCTATTTTGGGGCAGGAACGCACAGGAACGGAGTTCCAGCTGGCTCCCAAGTTGGCCACACCCAGCAGGAACTCATTAGCATAATAGACCACACCCAATTCATTAGGATTGGCTACATCAGGGGTGTGTGGCCTAACATGCAAAGGAGTTCCTGCTACAAAAAAAGGCCTGGGTTTTGACAACAAACAAGGTAAACAGAATAACAAGCAAAAGGTGGGTGTGGCTGGATGAGCACACTTCTGGCAACATGGGGGTGTGGCCTCATAGACTAATGACCTGTGCTGTCAGGGGTGTGGCCTAATATGCTAATGCGTTTCTGCTGTTGGGTGTGGCCAATTATGCTAATGAGTTCCTGCTGGGCTTTTTCTACAAAAAAAGCCCTGGCCATAGTTATCTGTTGCAGAAAAATCAGTAAAGACTGATTGATTCTGGCAGAAGTTTTTGTGGATGCCTACTAGCATCTGATGAAAATAATCTGGTACCTGATAAAGCAGGCTCTAAGTCACAAAAACGTCTGCCACAAGAACTCGTCTTTAAGGTGCCATAAACCTGTAATGTGTATCTTTAACTGGGCTTGGTTGTTAGGGTTGCCAGCTCTGGGTTGGGAAATACCTGGAGCATTTGGGGGTGGAGCCTGAAGAGGGCGGGGTTTAGGGAGGGGAGGGAGTAGGGTATAATGCCATAGAGTCCACCTTCCAAAGAGGTCATTTTCTCCAGGTGAACTGGTCTCTGTTGCCCTGGGGATCATAGCGGGAAATCTCCAGCTACCACCTGGAGGCTGGCAACCCTATTGGATGTTTAAAAGTAAGGTAAGATGACAGTCTCTGGAATCTCTACAGTCACCACCAGCTCCTGCAGCTTTTTGTCTCTCTCCTGGAGTCACAGCACACAACACAGAGGCCTGCTTGTGTAACGGTCCTTCTCCGCCTCGCACTCTTGCTGTTACTCACACAATTTTCTCTCTAGCTCTCCTGTGATACTTCCTATAAAGGAAATGGGGAACTTAGGACTGGGGGTGCCCTCTGAGATCTTGAGGGTGAACAGAAGAGATTTCAGTAAAAGTAGGAGGAAATCACGCAACCCAGTCACAGGCATCCAGTCTGAAAGGCCTGGTCTATACACAGTACCAAAATTCATATGTGGGGGATGCACGAACAATCTCTATTTTCTTCTTTTACTAAGACGCAGCAGGAAGAGAAGAAGCTGTGAATCTGATCGAGGTGGTGGGGAGGAGGAAGCACTGCTTTTCTTTCAGGGCGTTTTTCTGATCAAAATTGCCTCCTCCCTGTTGATTTACCACTCAAGGAGAACAAGATATAGGGTCAAAACAAAGTAGTGGTATTTCTGACATGTCATCTGAAACACAGGGGACGCAGCTTGCTAAACGGCACCCTGACTTGTGCGACTGGAACATCAGCAGCCATTGTGGACTGCAGGTGGAAGCAACCAGGGCTTCCGACAGGCAGCTCCGGGATCAGGATGGAATACCTATAATTTAATCAACACTGCCCTGGGAGCTGGAGGCAAGGTCCCTATTCCATACAGTTAAAATTCCTCAACCTGTTTTTACTCTGGGAGGTAAGAACATCAGAGCAGGGTCTTAACTGCAGTGGCCCCCTGAAGGTCTGCAATGCCCTCTCAGAGAAAGGGCAGAATTGCTCTTCTTTCTTTGCTCCCCTTAAATCAGAGTGGCCTATTTCAGACGGCTGAGAATTCTGCTGCTGCTGGCTAAGACTGTCTCTTGTTTATGCATTCATTTCTAAATTGTGCTAGTTTTCTTAATGAATTATATTGTTTTTGGTTTCATTATTTGCCTTCAGTCATGGAAAGGCGAGAGAGAGACTGAGATTGAGGTGGAAAAGGCTGTAAGATTTATTTTC